ATAGATAGATAGATAGATAGATACAGGTGTTGTTCTATTGTCTAATTGTTTAAGTAATGGTGTGATAAAATGTATGGCGTATACAAAATATCAATAAAGTTTGTCTGAGTCTAAAGATTTTGTCACAAAATAATAATAACAAGTCACTGGTATAGATGTTTGGCATGTACTTGTAAGAGTAAGAGTGTGAGTGATCTCAACTACTTACATAATTGATGACTTTGAGCTGGAGAGAAGCAGCATCCAGGTCATAGAGCTCACCTAAGAGAAAAAAGTAAAAAGAAAGAGAGAGAAAGTGATGTCAGGCAGGAGTGGGAATTCAGATCATGAACGCGAGTGGACAGAGAAAAATCCAGAGAGAGGAGCACTCAGACAGTGAGTTCGTGGAAGGGTGAAAGGAGGACGTTAACATGGGGGACTAATAACAAAGACAGGACAAGGGATGGAGGGCTGCCTGGAATACATAGGAGGACAGCAGGAAAGAGGGGGGGTCACAGGAGTGAAGCAGAGGCAGCGAGGACTGGGAAGAAAAAAGCAACTCGTATTTATCGATAATTACTAGAGAGTAAACAATGTTTATGTATGTGTGCAGGAACAGTGGGAGGTAGTCCACCTCCATTATGCATGAGATTTTAAACAATGTTGTGAAAAAGCATTCTGTTTTTAGACTCTATCTAAATTCACAGAACTTCCCTGGGTCTAACTCTATTAACATACCCTCCGTCTGTGACACTGTATGAGTGCTCTGCTTTCCATGAAATGTAAAGTATCTATAGCAGACAGAATGAAAGACTAGGTGTTATGTGTATTCATGGGTGTGACTGTGTGCGTCAGTGGGGATGCTGTGGGCATACCACAGAGCTGCAGAATGTTGCGGTCCAGCTCGCAGTAGTCCTGCTCGGCTACGTTGAGGTGCAGCAGAGCATTGTGGGACTGCAGGGGAGATGGGCTCAGAGGAGGCCTCTGATAGGACGCCTGCACAGCCTGGATGCGAACGCATGCCACTGAGGCCTGCATTGCCGTAGGGAAAAAAACAGAAACATAGACAAGCAAATTCAGCTAAAAGAGGTACCGAACTTTGAGTTTTCCGTGATTCTAAGTAAGCTCAAACCAGCTGTAGCAGATGAATCAGCCACATTCTGCAGGATGTTCCTTCCTGCTTCTATTACCAATGTTGCCAGAAGCTTGCTTTGAATGAAGGATTGGAGCTGAGTCAACCACCCAATGCAACCAAATGGATTTCCTTAGATAAGTTTCCTACCATTTAACCTTATTTGCACAAATGACTTTGAGTACAACAATTGGGACAAGTTGGACTGAATCTTCTTGTTCTGTGATTTTATCAGAATAAAACTGATCAACCTTATTTTTATTGGGACTAAAATGGATTCCACATAATCGTATCAACTGAACCTGTTTGTAAAATGTCAATAGTCTATGTGTTTTATTTTTTACTAATAAAGTTGCATTAAAAAAATCTGAACGCTATTGAAAAGTATTTATATCAGCAATTCTTTTCAGTAAGTTAAAGAATAATAGAAAGGGGCTGATGTTTCTTGGACTTTTTGCTAATCATAACGGTTTGCAGCTTACAGTTATGAAAACATATTTAATATAAGACTATTGCATAGGAGCTATAATTAAAAATTTAATACAGAAATCTGGGTTCAGTGAAAAGTATGTTTATTACCTGCTTAAATAAAAAAAAAGAGTTTTAATCTAACAGACAAGGCTTATCTGAAATGACATTCTAATTTATTGAATATTTCTTTATACAAAATTTAAATTCGATGCATTATTTTGCCGTTTTTTGTTTTTTTTTCCAAGGATTCACGCATTTCTAAACGTTTCTTACCATTACATGTAACATCAAAAAAATAAACTGTAACATTTATTATTGTAATCAAACAGTAGTAGTTTTATACTGTGAAAAAACAAGCTGACAAACAAGCCAATATCTGCTGTCCCTTTAGGTGCTGGTGATACCAATATCCAACCATTAAAAACAAAAAGGGTAACACATTTTTTAATTTGATATAATCTACTCAATTTATTGCACCACTAAGGTTTGTTCAGCACAAACTGAAATAAAAAACAGATTAAGAAAATTATTTTAATCTAAAAAAAATTTCATCCTATTCTAAATCTTTATCATTCATAAAAAAATTATTAAACCCTAAAATACCCAGGGTGTACGTTCCAATTGATGATAAACAGTCTTTGCTACACTTATTATAATGCTATAAGCTATGGATTCTCATGTTTTAATTTCATCGCTTTTTGTGTGGATAAAAATAATCATCATCACTGTGTTAGTCACAGGATGACGAGGTAAGAATGGAAAAATGTGAGGCTGCCTTTATAAATATAATATCCTACATAGATAATGATAATACAGTTAGTCTTCTCAAGGGCCAGATTTTGATCAAATAAGGCAGATCTCTACAATAAAGGCATTAAGAGTGAGCAGCACGCTTGCAGAAGGGCCTGGACATCTGATGATTACACGACCTATCAGGTAGACACCAATTTGATGTGACATTAGTTTCCTGATATCACTGACGTAGAAGAACAGGGCTGATTCTTTATTCCTTTTAATGCCTGGCGATGACTTCCAGTCATGAGCACAGTTCTGTAACTCCACTATTTCTATGCAAAACCAAAAATAAATATGTTATACCGGTGGTTCAAGTTTGAGAGCCGGTTACTATGATAAAAAGTGTTACTTAAAGGGTGATTGCTCCGAGGAAATAAAATGGGGAAAAGCTTTGACCTTCGGGGTGGGGGGGTGGCCTTCCTTACACTAAAAGGAATGAAGATCTGATATAAAATTGAATGGTTTAACTTAACAAAGATTCTTTAGAAATAATAAAAAAAACCTTTAATACAGGTTGAATAGCCTCTAAACTAAAACTGTTTCATCAGTACTCTTCTAAAGTTCAGACCTGCCATAAATTTGCCAGAATCAAATGCACTATAAAGTTCAGCTATCTAATTTAGTAGAAAAGTTACAACAAATCAAAGACAGAATGGTGCAAAAAAAAAAGTAAAGGAATTGAGGAATTGAAGATGTTAACTCATAGTTGCTGAAAAGATGCAACAAAAGTGGCATTTCTATAACTCTTCTTTACTGATTTTAGGAAAAGACAAGACAGTTTTACTAGGATAGTGCCAGAGGCCTCCACAGTGAAATCTGTAGTGGCAGCATCATGATCTGGGCTAACTTTGTTAGTCTAAATTAGCTTGTAAATTATTGTATATTAAAAAGCTGAAAATTAAGTTTACTTTCAAATATCCTTGTGTGTGCAAGCATACATAATAATTAATAACAGAAAAACTCCAATAGAAAATCTATTTTTATTGATAAAATTAATATGTCTTGTATTTCAACAGTGCTTTTAGGACTTTTATTTAAATGATAGACAAACTGGAAAAGTTTATTTATCAAAACAGCAATTTAAAAATGGCCTTGGCCTCAGAGGGTGACATGATGACACGATTCATCAAAATGAAAAATAGGTAAAAGGCTAATGTCTGGAGGGCTGGCAGTCTTTACTCTTTACTTGTGCTGCACTGTATTTTAAAAAAAAGCCAATATGGCAAAACCTTGTGGAGAAAACGCCTCCAGCAACATACTGCCGCTCATGCTGCCATGTTCACTCATGAAACATGGAGGGAAGCAAAGCTTACGTGTTTTCCCAGCACATTCAGATGCAGTTCGTCTTGATCTGATAGCGGGCCACATCCCACCTGCAACACATGGAGACAGATACACCACCAGTGAGAAGAGAGCAGCACAAAATCACAATGCAGGCTTTAATGTCTCTGCAGAATTCATTGTGCAGGGGCATGTTAACTTAAATGAAATCAGCGCCCAATAACGTGCTTTATCACAAAATAGAGGCTGAATCTGCCGCATTAGATTCCTTTTTATTCTTCTCACCAGTAAGACGGCAAGAACCTTGCTGTGATCCTGATCCAAGATAGGAATTACAAGAGCTGTAAGATAATAAGATAAAATATAATAGAGTTAAAAAAAACAGCTAAAATATAATTGCAAGATTGTTTAGATGTTATGCATATTTTTTTCTCTGTGTTTAATACAACAGAGGAACAAAGTAAAAAGGAAAAGAAAAACAAAACATGAAGATTATACATCTAAAATGTCCTTGAGTAAGGCTGTTTATTCTTTTCATTTTAACAGGAACAATGAGATGCTGGTTGTTACTCCAGACAATAAAACAAGCACACAAACTCTTTCCTGCATAATTATTACACACTCATTGCTATGTATTTATTCCCACAGCACAAAGCGGCTTTGCATATGTTTTTTTTTTTTGTTCACACATTCCTCAGGTTGTTCTCTGAATTCCTTCATCTGACAAGAAATAATGAGTCTGATTGAATTCCTCTCCTTTTCTTTTTTCCTCATCAAAACATTTTCCTGCCTCTCTAAGTGTCCTTTGTGCTCATACCTTTCTCTCAGTGAATTTACCATTTCTTGCTAACTACTGCTCCCCCCATCTTCCCCTAACCTGTTGCTTGCTTCGCCTTAATCCACATGTTCTTAGAGAATGACCTACAATTACATTTTCTTCTTTCCTGCATGGACCCGACATAAAACATTCAGCCGCACCTCTCCTGTGTGCCGGTAACGGCGCCGCTAGGAAGATCCTGTATTTCTCCGGCAGTTCGGATGGAGGGAAGCCAGCGCACTGACAGCGCTTCTGCTGCTCCACCGCACTCCTACGACCGACACAGGATGAGGCTGAGTCAGATTAGAGCAACATGATAACGTGCGTGACATTAGTCTAAATTAATTTAGGTCTGTCAGACATTACAGAGACTAATATGCAAGGCAAGCCTTCTGGAAGGTATTCATTGCAAATGGAAAAACAATCACCAATATTAAAAAAACAGACTTAATTTTTTTTCATTAATTCAAATGAACTAAAAAGACTGGTGAATGGACTTATTATCCATTGATAAAGGATATTTTTCATGTGGAGAGCAAGGCGGATGGGCAGCCAGGTGTGATGCCCACAAAGACGTGCAATATGTTTGGAATAAATATGAGACAAGGTTTCTTTATTCTCAGACACACGGATGCATTAAAACACCTCATTCAGACTGGCATGAATATGGATCCGAAAAGCATAAGAAATCTAAATAGCTTCACTCAAGCACACACAGGTAAATTCAACACCTATGTGCTGCACATAATAATCAGCTAAGCCCTCTGGCAGAAACTCACACACCCAAGCCTACACACACCAACACACACACCTCCCCACATATACACACCCAGGCCAGCAGTCACTCCATTACATGCTCACAGAGTCTGAAATCCCCCCAAACCACTGCAGCAAAATCTCTGCATGGTGCATTGATTTCAAAGTGTTTATTTCAGCTCACTGAGGAATGGTGCACTCCAATCAGAAAATATTCTATTGTGGCAAATACATTTGACCTTTTTGTAATGCATCTGTTCAAAGCAACTCTCCAGCACAGCCCTGGAGCAGATACAAACTGGCCACAGTAAAATTCAAAAAAACACCTAGCAGCACTGAGAAAGATACAGAGATTTAGGATTGTACTGATCTGGTATAAAGGTTATGGGTTTTCCATACATTTAGCGATTTAAACTCAACACCCCATCTTTGGATGTATATGTCAATAGCTGAGTGGGCATAGATGGAATTAAACACTAAATGGTCACCATGTTATCCTTAGTTAAATGACTGCTAAATTAACTGCTGTTTGTTTAGTCTTCTATAAAGACTCATTTCCACGAGAGCAACTATGAGTAATAAGAGCCCATCTATAGTTAAAAAATTGGACCACATTAGTAGGAAATGGCACAATCGACCCAGTGTCTTAATAAATACCCGCCCATATGAAGGTGCATCTCTGTACAATTAAATATATAGATAAAGATTATAACGATATATTACTCACAGAGTATTTTTTTTTTCTGAGAGCTTTTATTTTGTTATTTATTTTTAATCATTTTTGGCTTACAGTTAATGAGAGTCTCCAAAACTTTAGAATTTTACTCTGGAAGCTTTAAGTTGGTTTATCAGTCTTTGGGCGGGTTAGCCTATTCTTCTTCTATTCTTCATCAGACTGGATGGAAACTACAGCCTCTCTTCAGCTAAATCTCAGATCTGTTGAGAGATCTACAATCAGGTGTAGGCTCTGGCTGGACCATCCAAGGACATTCAAATAATTGTGATGAAATTCCTCCTCTGATACCCTGCACCAGACTGTAGAGCAGCTGAGCAGCTCCTTTAGTAACAAAATTAAACACCCTGTGAGTAAAAAGGAGCGCTTCCGCAGGTCATTCATCCCTGCTGCCATCAGACTTTACAATGCCACTAGACTATAATCTGGTGTAATTACACTGCAATAACTTATACTATTTATTTATTTAACAAACCAGAAACCACACTTTACCTGCTACCAATTTGTTGTACATAAGATACTGTATATATAAGTCACCTTAAATCTCTCCTCTATATTTTACCATCCACTGTCTATATCTGCATGCACTGTATATACGTTCATGTTCTCCTTTGTGCACCTCTTACTGTCTAAAAGAGCTGATGTCACAAATGATTTTTCTCCATAGCAAGATCAATGCATTTCTATTCTATTCTATTCTATTCTATTCTATTCTATTCTATTCTATTCTATTCTATTCTATTCTATTCTATTCTTATGTGTGGGGTCTTTATTAAAGGATAAACAGTCTTGAGGTCTAGAGAACTATAGAACAGGATTTCATCTAGAATATCCCTGTGCTTTGCCTCATTCTTTTCTCTCTATCCTGATTAGGTTCCAAGTTCCTGCTGCTGAAAACGCCCCAACTTTGCATGATGCCAATACCAACAATTCTCGGTCTGGATGCTATTAGCCATAAGATAAATGGTGCTTGGTCTCCACCAAACATGACATTCCAGCCAAAAGCTTGAATCTTTGTCTCATGTTCTGAGAGTTCTCCCAGTTTATTTCTGGAAGGCGAAGATAGCTTGCCATGTTCTTTTCTACAAAAGAGTAACTTTTTTAAGTTCACTCTCCCACACAGGACTGTCTGATCAGTTTCTGCAAAGATGGTTGTCTCTCTGGAAGGTTCTCCCCTCCCTGCATAACTCTTGTTCTTGTTCACCTTAAGTCATAAGGCTCCTAGCCTCTGATTGCTGAGTTTCTAGAGCCAGACACCTCTAAGAGCAGAAATGTGTCTATGCTCTTCACAAAATGTGTGTCTGAAGACAATCCTGACTTGAGGACTACAGAGCCCATTGACTTCGTGCTTGGCTTTGCTCTGAAATATACTGTGCACATACAGGTCTAAAAACATTGACATTCTGCAGAACCGGCTGTTTTTGGGAATTATTTGTAAGGTATTCATTTTAAAGATATGCTGTGTTTGAATACAAGGCAAGAACATGACTCCTACTGTCTTCCAGCTGTATTTCTTCGCTAAATGCATAAGATGCAGACAGGAATGTTGCAGGAGCATTGCAAAATGTTTGTGATTTTAACAGGGTAGTGCAGATATTTAACAGCTATGTGCATTTTCAATGCACAGCATTTTTGTTGTCATAGATTGATTTACTTGCGGATGTCTAACGGTTTAAAAGAAAGACAGTCTCTGAAGTTCTCCCAGCTGAAAGCATGCACAGGGTTTGTTAGTGTCAAGGTCTGGTTTATAAGACGTTGGCTTTGAATCAGGCTTTCGTCAAATGGCCTTTTACCAATCAGATGGGTTCTTTCAGTGTATGTGTGTGTAGGTAGATGGCCGTGTGTGTCAAGGTCTTGATAACAGGCTTAAATAAACAGAGAAAAGGTATAGATGTTTCTGCAACCTTTTGAATGCATGCATTACAGCTACTCATGCAGAAATAATAGAAGTTTGTTGTGACGATGAGCCTGTGTAATACTGCAAACTTGATGCCTGGGCTTTTTTTTTTTTTTTGCACATTTGTAGGATCCTGTGTCAATGTGCCAGAAACTGGCTTCTTGTTTGACAAATAGACAGATTCATCAATAATGTAGCGCTGTTTTCTGCCAGCCTCCGGGCAGCAGTCACAGCAGCATATGTGCAAAGCTTCAGAGAGAGCACTTAGGTGAGAAGGGGATCGACGTGTCTCGCTAAGGGACTGAGGGACACAGCTATCTGGCCGATTAGGTCTGCAACGCTTTCACAGGGAGAGGGACTGAAGGTGAAAGAGAAGCAGAGGATAGACCAAACCACATGCGACTCAGAGCTTTGAAAGAGGAAAGCATGGCAAGCTGCGAGCCAGGCAGCGAGGTAGGAAGTTGGAATGGGCTGGTAGATCACAAAGGATCGTTGGAGATGCCAAAGAGATGAGAAGATGTTTAACGAGATGAAAAAACAAGAGGAAGTAGAGTGAAGAGGAACAATGAGAGGTGGTAACAATGAGACATCAGAGGCAGAGAATGTCTTTGTGCCTAAAGATGATGGGCCCATTCTCTCTGACACCTCCATCCATGCGTTGATGATCTGATTTCAGTCTGATCGCTTCATGCTCATTCAAGTGGCACCTGCTTTTCAGGTAGACAAAACAGTTGCTGCCCCCCCTCCCACTTCATGTGTTGTTGCTTATCTCAGTATCAGCGCCCTCGATGGTAGTGCAGCAGCAAATCAGAATAAAAACATCTGCAGCTCATCGTAGTGAGTCTCAAATTGTACACACCTGATCTTGCCCTCCTGTGGCACTTCGTGCGGCGGGTCATCAGACAGCAGCCTGGAGTCTCCTTCCAGGACATAGATGCACACACACTCCTGAAATATGAAATCAAACACAGAGACATATGCACACCCTAGCTTGAAACATTAATCAGGTTGTAATTGATATAATGAGCAATGAGCCTCATGCATTTGCAAAAAGGGTTTTGGCCTATATGCACCCTACAGGGATGTCGAGACTGACACAACAGGCTCCATCATTCTGAACACTAATGGGGAGCATTTCTTTTCCAGGTAATAAGCCGAGGAACTTCAATTGTGTTCACTTGCAAATGTGAATTATATTTGTGTGTGTGTGTGTGTGTGTATGTGAGGGACAGAGGGAGGGAGTGCAAATACCGTGCTGGGGAGCAGCTCCTGAACGCTGTCTCGCAGGGCCACTCGGAGCGAGCGTACATCAACAACTGCTGCCAGCCGCAGCAAAGCATCCTAGAGAGGAAGACAAACAAACTCACATGTGTGTTTGGCTGTTTATTTATGATATAAAAAAAAAAATAAGCAGAGACCTTGGCTGCCATTTTGTGTTTTTCTTTGTAGGTACAAAGTACACACAGTTACAACTATTTATCCATAATAACTTTGCAAGGCTGCAAAGAACTCCTAAGTATTTTCCTTAAATGCATCCTGCTCTGCAGTTGGTAACACAAGTGTGGCACTCAGAACATAAAGTGAACTCAGACAGCAGAATTAGTTTAGCTCTTTACTGTACTCAGCACTCTGTTTCGTTTTGGATCTGCGAAAACAAAGCACTTGAAAATTCATTTGCAGAGTTTGGTGGTTAGCTGACTCACGGAGTTAAAGTGCATGGGAAGTAACAGGCGGCTCTCATAGGAGCACTTAACTCACCCTGGAGTTTATGAAACTATGGTGATCCTAATTACAATAGCTGTAGTTAGAATTCGACAAATTAAACAGCTTTCCAAACTAAAGATGACCTAAACCTAAAGCCATGCCGTATTTGCTAAAAGAGTCAGGCTCTGTTATCTCAAGGTCTTAGTCAAAAATGGGAAGATGAGGATAAGGTTGAGACTGATAAAAAAGGCACTAAAACAGTGGTATCCAAATCCACTCTTTAGAACATATCATCTTGTCCAAACCTGAATCCAGTGGGTGAATTTATTAACCTGCAAGTCATTCATTTGAGTCAACTGGGTTAAAAAAGACTGAACAAAAAATTATGGGATTGTCACTCATTTATTCATTTTTATTTTACATGTCATATTTTTTTCTTGGAGAAAAACAGAAGTTATGAAAAAATCCTGCGTGCAACACACGTACCTGTTTGCTAAAACCCAAGAAGACCTTTCCCCTAAATCTGCATTCAGCCTTACAAATGCTTCTCTCAGGGTAATGCAACATTGGTTACAAGGAAACAAACATGCACCAGCCTCAATATTTACTCCACATCACATGAGACTTGGACAAACTCATTTGCCGCATTTTGTTGACATAGAGGCACTCAATTCTTGCGATGAAATATAGGGATGCTATCTCCTTGCACTAATAAAAAAATCTTATGTCTTATAAACATGTTTTGTTAATTGGATAATTTTTCCCATCCTGCAATGTCTGCAAAATAAATTATTCATGTTTGATAGCCTCATTTATCAGTCAATCCATCCATCTCTTTATTTATCATTCATTACTCCATCCACTTCACTGTGCAGGGTCAGGGGGGATTTGCCCACATCTCAGGTGGTAACTTGGCAGGAGGTAGGGTACACACTGGACTGGTTTTTATTGTCCCTTCAGCATAGTATGCTTCATCTACTTCCCTGTGGCTGCACACAATGATTGCTGATGGCAATTTAAGTCAACCATTTGATGTTTTTGGACCATGGTAGGAACCACAAATTACATGAAGAGCTCAGGCCAGAATATAAACCAAAGACCTCTTTGCTGCAACACAACATTAAAAACCACTTCCCAGCTGGTGACCATCTAATCATTTAATGATTCTGAAACATCTATTTATCTATCTGTCTGTGTCCCAAGAATGTGTTGTTTGTAAATGTAAAAACTACGCTTACATCTCTTTTTAATGTTTTTTTTGTTTTTTACCCCCAACTTTAGACATCTGAATCCTGCCAAAATACAGGTGATTTATTGCTCTTTATAGTCCCAAACAAGACCCTCGAGCTACTACTATGCTAATTTGCTGTCTTTGCTTGCCAGCTCTGTGCACAAAAGACAGACTGTTTATACTGGTTCTGAGCGAGCAAACTTCACAGAGATGAATGAAGAGTAAAGAAATGAGAGCATAAAAGGGTAGTTCAAGACTTGGCCACTTTCTTGACTCTGCACATTAATCTGTTGGCCAGAGGGAGAGACTTGCAGTCGATTTCAATGTCAGAAACGTTTAGAGGATGGGTGATCCAAGAGCTTTTTAACCATTTAATGAATTTGTCAATATAATCATTCCACAAAGTGAGAGTAGTTGGCTTCTCCCTTGAAGCAGAGTTCTTATTGCTTCAGAGAAAACGAAAAAACTAGATTATACAGCACTATCCATATTTATTGACATCCCTGGGTAAGAAGCCTTGAATTCCTCAGTGAACTGAGACAAGAAAAACTGAGATCCTCCTCCAGCACTGTTTGACACATTTCTAGTTGTTTGAACTATTATCATATTTTTGTGACAGCAGAAGGACAAATTTATGTTAGATAACTATTTGCTTTTAATTGATAATATATGTGTAAAGATCAGAAAATATATGTCTGATTTAAGTGTTGTCTCTGAACAGTGGGTAATCTCTCAGGGTAACAAAAAAAACTACACTTCATTTTATTTTATAAGAACTATGACGCAGTGCCAATTATTGTGGGACCAATGACATGGATTTGTTACCATTCGGTAATGAAATAAATGAATAAATGTACAAGTAAGAATCTTAGCATAAGGTATACTATGGCACAGCAATAATGCAACTGCAATTATGAGGAGTGGTGGCTAAGTGGTTAGGGCATTGCGCTTGGATCCCAGAGCATGACCCTAAAAGGGGTCATAGAAAGCAAAACAGAGCTTAGATTGTCATAGATGAATAACAATAGTTCAGTGGGTGAAACAGACGTACAGAGAAGTTCAAACCCCATCGACACCTCCTTTCTCTGTAAATCCCACAACTCTAATCTTCCACCATAAAACAGGCAAATCCAAACGAAACGTTAACTCGGGGTTGTTGCCTTATTTGGTTCTGGCCTGTACTTTTGTCACGCCCCAAAATTGATGCTGATGAAGATTCTCAGTCATCCAGGTTTTTTGAACTTTTACGGAACGCCCCAAAATTGACATACAGACCAGCCCACTGGTTCACTGGCCCAAGGAAGGGGGGTTTTGGGGGTATGAAGTGTCGACTGCTGGACCACTAACCGGACCGGACCTCACCAAAGAGCCATGAGCCACCCGTCCTCAGCCGGAGGAGGGGTGGCAGGAGTGGGGAAGCACGGGGCCACCGGTGTCCAGGCTACCATCATCAGGTTGGGTTCAATCGCTCTGTACTCTGATGGCTCCCTGCCCCCATCCGCTGGGGTTCCCAGTTCGAATGCACAGTGTGCTTCGACTCTGTGCTGCACTTTAGTCGACCAAAATCCCGGACGATTTTGAAATTCTCCCCGGATATTTTTTTAGGTATAAAAAGTAGGAAATGTTCGGGAAAAAGAGGACGTCTGGTCACCCTACCATATCAACAATTTCGATGTTTCAGTGAGTGAGTTCTTGTTGCTATGATGCGTCCCTTCTCAACAGCTTTAATTGTTGTAAACCACCCAATCAGTGCACAGCTCATCTAAATACCTGTCATTTCATTGTAGGGTTTATAACCAGGCTTGCATTAGGGCACATAGAACAGCAAATATGCCATTTTCAGCCCAACAAATGTGACACGCCCTATTCAGATACTTTAAGGACCAGCACCGGATACCCTATATAATCATTCTATGACCCTATTAACCCCACACTGCTCCCCGGGCGCCACACAGTGGCAGCCCACTGCTCCCCAAAGTAATGGGTTAAATGCAGAGAGTTCATTTTGTTGCTTTGTACTTGTGAAAGTTTAATGACAATAAAGTTGAATTCTATTGTATAAAACTTTACCTTGTTCTTAGACATTTTACATTTCTGTACTGGAAATAAAAAAAAAATCTGCTACTAGCAGAGCAAAGCAAGTGTTTTGATTATATAAAATGGAATTTTGAAACGACCAGCCTTATAGATTTACGTCTCTCGTGACAGCTTTAAATTCATAGCATGAGAAGTTTTACACCCTGTGTGTTCTACTTAAATCCCAACCTGTTAGCGTTATCACAAAGCATTATCGTCCCGTGTAAGCACTGCCTGAAGAAACATCTCAGTGGGAACTCAAAATCTGATCAAAGCACAGGAAAAACAACCAAAGGAAAAATGAAGATTTAACATCCGGCAGCACTTAAGGCTGTGTTCTGAATCAAAATTGAAAAGAAAAAGCTTTTGGGCTTCTTTAACAGTGAATACCTTAAAGTGTTCATCTGCCTGTTTGGAGGTTTCATGCTCTTTCCACGGGTGTCCATCTGTCACCTCTGTTTTTTAAAGCTTCTCTCTGCTGGTTTTCCTCCATCTGTGTTCTTCCGTTTTTATTTTTTATTTTATTTGGACTGAGGGTAACAAGTGGAAGAGAAGGGGGGGGGGGATGCGGTTGCTTAGACAGCAGGGATAGTGGTGGGAGTGTCAAATGTGAAGGAGGAGATATGAAAAAGGAAGGAGACTGGAGAGTGTTGTCATGGCTGCGCACTCGATGCCGGTCATTACATATGATTAGATATGATTAAATGCGATTAGCTTTGATCACTCAATCAGCCTGCCAGAGCGCGTTGTAATGAAGTTGGAAGTATGCCAGCCCATGCATGAACATCTGTATTGTTGAAGTACGGGATAAAGGCATGTGTGTGTTGCATTTTAAGTTACGGATCTCACACAAATTCCTCTAAATAACAATGGATTGTTGGTTGATTTTACCTGCGGAAAACATGAATCCTCTCTGCTCTGCAGTTTATTCCTCACAGGGAACTGAGGATCCAACTTGCCATCCTCTGTGCGTCACCGTTTGTGGATGTATGTTATCGGCAATAACAAGCTGTGTGCCTCAGTAAATGTCAGACTCTGTCCTATGACCTTTACCAATAACTTCTTCTTGCCATGTACCTAAAACCATCTGTTACATTAATTTACCTGCCTCCCTGTTTGTCAGTGCACAATCCTCTCTCTGACATACATTAAAGCACAAAACAGGACCATTTGTTCCTTGGTTTCCATTTCCTGAAATTGAAGCACTTAACCTTCAGTAAAAGTGAAAGGAAAACATATAGATTAAAATAACAAAGCAACAGAAAACATGAGAAATAACAGTATCATAGATTTTATTGTACATTTTTTTTCACATTATAGCCATAACCCT